TATATAGACTCTCATATTGTGCGGCATGGAGTCCGGGCCCCTCGGCCGTGCCTCCCGCGCCAGCTAAAACTGAAGGAACTTCTGCAGGATATGTACGAGAATATATGATATCGCTTTCTTGCGAACTCTCATACCGGACATTGATGAGGGTATATTGTGATTACTCATGCAAGAAGGAAAACGCCGAATATACTTACGATCCTTGGTCTTGAAGAAACGGCATGCACATTGCCGGCCTCTCCGCGAGACGTTCGGCCATTTTCGAATCGAGCTATTTGTCACGCTTTGACTCGTCGACATCTCGCCTCATTTGTCATATCTTGATGCAGCGAGAACGTAAACCAGGTCGGTCGAGCGCCTTTCAGGAGGTGCTAGTGCGGACGGGAAAAGACGAAGAAGTTCATCGATGGCGGCGTCCACTGGCGCAGGTCAAGTTCCAGTTCTCATACACGAGCACCTCGTGCCTTGGATGCCCCGAAAGCCCATACCACCGAAAACCTCCTAGCGCGGCCGCCGCATAATGTCGTAGTGCGCTGGCTCCGGGCTTAGTGCTGAGACATCTGCCCTCATTGAGACATCTTCTGTGACCAATGGTATCCGTCTCGAGGATGTCGCTGCATTGTGCGCTGTTATCGGGTTTCTGTAATCTCTACTTCATAGGCGCGAGTTAGCTGAAATGCACACCGCTGGGCTTACGGAATGTAAGAGTCCACATTGACCATTCCAAGAATATGAACGACCAATATAGACGACTGGATTTCACTGGATGAATTGTTGTGCTATTTCTGGCGTGAAAGCACGGTACACCTGTTGCGGACGTAGGTTAAAAGATCGTTCGGTAAGAAGGAGTCGACGACACGATCTCCTGTACGGACACCAGAGAGCTAGCGACGCAGCTAGACAAAGAAGCCACGAATCGAATTGCGCGTGGATGCATAAGAAAAATTTCATCAGAGAACCATGGTGCTGATAGCGAGTTGAATATTCCATGCGAAGGGGGGGTATTCGAGACGTCCAGAGCTGACTTTGTGACGAGGAGTTGCCGACGCAATCAACGCAATCCCAAGATACAACAGCCCCAGATGTTGAGAAGCGAAGTCGGAAGCGTTCGCAACGCGGATGCAGTCTGGTGGCTAAACTCGCAGTCCAAGAAGTCTTCGGCACTCCGGTGACAGTGGTGTGCGCAATAGAGCCATAAGATGCTCCACAAGACTTCTTGCACCCTTGATTCATGAACGGTAGCTGAGAACATCGGCAATACAGAGCAATCAACGGCCTCCCCTAAGGATTCAGAGACCAACATGAAGAGATGGGCATGGGGAGAGGTTTTGATGCATAGAAATGTGGCCGGCCGTGCGGACGCTATCTAGACACTTGAGAATGAAGCAGCTAAGATCGAAGAAATGGCGTACATCTTGTAAGTTGTTCCTGTCCCGGTCGTCCGCGATGCGCGAGCGAAACTGAAGACCAGGTCCGAGCAGAATGCTCACATATGGCGATGTCGTTCAAACTTCTAGTAGAGGTACTTCTTCCATCGCTGATCTGTCAATGTCCCTTGCAGCTGACCCCTTCTATTCTCCAGGCTCCGAGATCATCATGATCATGCGATGCAGGATTGGAGCGTCATCATAGGGAGCCACCTGGAATCACATCTTCGACATGTCTCGGCCGCCGCAAACCTTTCGGTGACCCTCGTCTCATCACCCGGGCCATCTGCAGAACATGCGTTCCTCCGCTGAATATCTCCCTGTAGCTCCTCCACCATATCCAAATTTGGCAGTACAGCTGGTGTACGTTCATCGTCATGTCGATGTCAACGTCCACTGTGCGCTTCTCCCACTCGTACTTGTTGGCTCAAACGCTATGTGCCCGCGAACGCGCGATGTCCTGAGGAACTCACGTTGATCCTGACGGATTCTACTGAAGTAGGCATGTAGTACAGATGTGATTCCCTTGAGAAATTAGTATCGGTTTGTCCTGAGATATACAGAGAAAGAGCTTTAGACGTCCGCGATTATTCGAGCTTCGCAGGCGGCCACCTAGCCCTGTCAGGAGCGCTGTGGCTGTGTGCACTGGTCGTGGGAATACACTCTTTGGCAGGGCGGCGGCTGACCGCTTGAGCGTCTCCGAACCGCGACTTTTAGGCTGCGTCTGTTCGAAACAGATTTAATCACTCTCCTTTGATCCAACGAGGGTTCAGTATCAGGACGCTGACGACGATAACAAATGTAGGATGAAACCAGGCGTGGAAGGCCCAGAGTGAGCGTGCTCTATTCGGCCGCGCGGGATGTCATTGGTAAAGAGACTAAGTATGTTGACTTTGAGCAGCTTGAAGCAACATGCAGATCGTTTAGGAAACGGAAGCCAAAGAAGCTGAGTTCTCCGTATTTCGTACTTGCGATGTCGTTTCCCATTTAGAGAGTGAACTAGTTAAGTTGCGCAACCTGGCACCTTAACGGATGCGGTATCAGTCCGCAATTATGCGCACCGAAAGATAATTCAAGACGATTAACGTTTCTCGCAGGTGCAATTTTCAAAATTAAATGCTTGTTGTAAAGTTCGTATTCCCGCCTATCCCTACGCCCTGCGCTCAGCACATCTCTTCACCGGTCGGATTTGTACTCTGCAAATTTCCGGGAAATCTAGGCGGGCAGCGGCATCCGATTACTGCGGCACGTGCGCCCGCAAGGTTTTCTGACCCATGTGTGCCACTCCGCTGTGCTTGGCCTACAGGAGAGATCGAACTTATGGCGTCTGTACGTTCGTTTTGGCCGTTTTGAATCAAAGCACATTTGTCAGGTACCTGGAGCTAATATTGGGAGGCCACTTTGCGCATCTAGGACCCTGGCCAATGCAAGTATAAGAGATGTCCATGGATCTGCTCGCCGTCAACATTCCGATCGCGTTTCACAATCGGCATCCTCAAGTCCTGAAGTCCTCTCGCACACTCGATCAAGAACTCCCTCTCTACGCACATCGAAATGGGCTGTTCTAAATCTGTATGTGGCCGCACTATTTCCATACTTCTCAGTCTGACCATGTATTCTGCGATAGAAGAAATATTTCCAGAAGCCGCAGAAGAAGGCTAGACACGCCTGTCCGGTCCCATTCTGTATATTCAAGGGGCAGAAGAAGCGTGCCATCAGAAGGCATTTCGAACGACAGCATTCCATTGGCAACACGAGGGGCAAAGGAAAGCTGCACAATGCGAAAGTTGATGTCTGTGGCTGCGGGTCCTTTAGCAGCTGCAGAACCGAGGGCCACGGCCATGTTTGTTCCGATGCTCAGAGCCCCCAGGAGGCCTCGAAGTCAGAGGTCGATGCAAACACGATTCTGACGGGGCTTCCTCCTATGACCTCACAGAACTACATGCGACTCGCTGCTGAACTGGTGGACCAAGCTCAGAATACCGCGCCGTCTGGCCAGACTCCGGGGCTCAACTCCAGCCAAGCTGTCGAGATCGCATCGAAGATCCTTACATATGTGGCTGCAAACATGGTTCATTCAAGAGATGACACTTCCGTTCCAAGTTTAGCCACTGCTACTCCTGTTCTCGGTGGATTGCGGTCGCCTTCACTTGAGTATATCCCAGATGGGACGCCGGGCTCTCCCGAGAGGTTCATGCAACCGCAGGTCGGAGCGGAGCAACCGAACTCACCTGACGACTTTGGTCTCTACATGCCCCATCCCGCTACTTTTCCTGCGTCTCCTGCTATTTCATATGTCTTTTCCCAACATCCTGGATCCTCGATCAACGTTGCAACGGAACCCCAGTTTGCGTTGGCGCTGGATAACAATGTTGGCGTTTTGCGCAGCATTTGCGACACTATCGAGGCCGAGCAGATCTCCGGCGAATACCATGAGATCAGGGCCGCGTTGGACGCGGCAACTCATGCTAGCGCTAGCTTTGCTAGCCAGGCGGGCATCGAGGCATCCGAGGCATCTGGGGCAGAGGTGAACACTTCCAACAGCCTTCAGCTCGACCTTCCTGAGGCTATGCCGACGCCTCCAAGTTCTCCCTATCCATCCGGACCTGGACAAGGTTATAGCGGCTGGGCCGTGGCTGCTGAATCTCCCGCGGCCACACCTGAATGCGGCACTCCTGGAACTCCGGCGGTCCACCCGGTCACGGCAGAATGGCCCGACGACATTCGCGACCCCTCCACTGTGGGAGACTTCTCCCAAGCCGATTTCGACTACTACCTGTTGCTCTTCGCCGAGTCTGCGCACACTAGCACGGATCAAGCCTTGTTCTCCCCTGGGCCGGGTGAGTTCTACTACGCACCGCCCGCCGGAACCCCGGGTCCATCTGCTTCTGGTGCGTATGGCTGGCGGTCTCTGCCACGCAGCCCAAGCCTTGGACCTTCAGCTATGCCCAGCGCCGGTAACCCAGAACCAATGTCTGAAGTTCGTACGCCATCTTCCGCGTCCAGTGCCGAGGTTGCCCGACACCTGTTCTTCAGCACGCCGAACACTGCCACTAGCACCGAGCTTGGATCGAGGACATATACCCTTTCTCCTAGTTCCAATGAGACCATCGCGCAGCTCCTGTTTTCCGGCAACGCTCGAGACAACCCGGATGCTCCGCATACACCGTCTACTAACACTGAGGCCGTCCAGGAATTCTTGGCGGGCGACACCGGGTTTGGCCTCGGTGCCGATGAAGATCTTGTCTTCTGAGCTTCTAAGGAAATTGTGTTTCATCATCTTATGCTTTCCTTACGCCGCTTCATATGCCCCTTCCTCCCCATGCCTATCAATGACCTATGTGCTCCCCATTCAACATATGCCGCCCTTTACCTATCTTGCATTAATTATGCACTCATACCTTGTTGCTCATAGTTATGTACACGTATGCCATTGTATGCTCCCTTGTATCAGATAGATTTGTTCAGAATCGTTGTAGTATTCGCTCCTGTTATGCTTTCGCTGCGATTCCGTCTTGGTATAGGATTATGCGGAAGCAACCATTTGTATGTGCCGTGGAATCCCGTTACTATACACTGATGGTGAAACGGTATCATGCTTGCCTTCCACTCATGTGTGAGCAAGCGGCGCGGGTTCGACTCCCGCTCAGTGTACTGCAGTGGGCTCCAGTTGTTTTTTTGGATCTCAGCTTACTGACTGTCTTTCATGTCCCATGGAAAATTGTCTGTTCAATATGCGACTCATGTTTTCCCAAATATAAAATTATTCTGGGTTGAGGTATGTGGGCTTCGCAGGAATCATTGGCTTTTGCGAGGGATACTGATCGACGATGTTCCACCAGTGTGCACCGGCAGTATCTGTTAATCCGCCGTGTTCTATACGCAAGGCTTACGGCGAGCGTCTGCGTACTATACCCGTTCTATAATTCGCACATATACCTACCTGGTTTGGGCAAATATCAATTGCTGGGAGCAATCCTGGCCTGTAGGCTTCGATGACAGCGTTGGGGCATATCAAGCCCTTGGCGATGTTGGCAGATACGCACAGTTCACTACATTGATAAGGGAGGAGATGGTAACACTGTAGGATACCCCTCTTGTATACGTAGCCACGTAACCACTGCCCCAAACTCCTACTCGTGCAGGCGAACCCACAAACCGCCCTATCAGTAGGTCCATATCAGCGATCGGTCAAGTGTAGCGCGCAGCTCAACCCGAGAGCTCACCTTGACATATATCGTAAACGCAGTCGCAGGCCAGCATTTCTCAATCGCCTGGCGGCCCTTCCCCTGCTTCCAGTGCGCCGGGGGTGCGGCGCCTTTCGGCAGTGCTTCGGGGACCAGCTCGATCCGCGAGAACCGCTGCAGCAGGCACGCCAGCATGTACGACGCCTCCTGCAGCGCAAACTCCTTGCCGGGGCACTATCAAGTCGCACACGCGCGCATCTCAGACACGGCGCTCGCACAAGGACGAGGCCGGAAGACGCACCACTCGCGGGCCCTGGAGGAACGGGATGTAGACCGACGGGCGCTCCGCGAGGCGCGCGGCGAGCTGCGGGTCGAGCCAGCGCTCGGGCCTGAACGCCTGCGCGTCGGCGCCCCAGAGGTCCGCGCGGCGGTGCAGCGGGAGCGTGAGCCAGTTGATGCGCGCGCCGCGCGGGATGTGCAGCGGGGCCGCGTGCGCGGGCGACGCGACGAGCACGTCCTCGCGCGCGGTGCGGATGCCCATCGGCGCGCCCGGGAAGAGGCGCAGCGTCTCGCTCAGGACGGCGCTCACTGGCGGGGGGGGTGAGACGCGTCGGGCGGGGGCGGGGGGGCGGGACGTACTGTAGGGCAGGGCGGAGAGCGCCTCGCGCGGGGGGTGCCCGGACGCGCCGCAGGTGTCGAGCACTTCGTGCCGCAGGCGCTGCATGACCTCCGGGTGCATGGCGAGGAGGTACGTGGCGAACGACAGGAGTCCGGCGGTCTGAAGGCGCGTTAGCCCGCGTAGAGCGACACAGAGGCTCACGCACCGTATCGCGCGCCGCCATCAGGACGTTCAGAATCCCAAACCGGATCGCCTCTTCGTCTGACGCACACATTCCTCAGCGCCCACAGCCACACGGCCACGGAATCGTGCACCCACCGTCCGTGCGCTCCACCAGGCTGTCGAGCAGCGTGCGCTCCTCCGCGTCCCGCGGCGCCCCCCGCGCGCGCCGCTCCCTCTTCTCCCTCAGCGCCCGCTCCACGACCGGCTTGACCCACCCCGTGATGACCTCGACGTCCGGCCGCGTCGCGTCCGCCCACATCTCGTACAGCGGCCAGAGCGCCTGGCGGCGCGAGCGCATCGCGATGCGCACCTGCACGTCCTCAAACGCGTGCGCGAACGTCCCGAACGCGTCGTCCGTCGCCGCGCCCTTCGCGCCGAGCCGCGCGGCAAACGGCACGGGGCGCGGCGCGGCGAGCGCGCGCGCGCGCACGCCGCAGAGGAACGCGGCGCCCGCGTCGAGCGTGAAGCGCTGGAAGAGGTCCTGGATGTCGATTGCGCGCTGCGCGGCCGCGGCCGCGCCGAGGATGGAGAGCGCCTCTGCGGCGTGCTCCGCGACGATCTGCAGGTCCGAGAGGCGCTCCTTGTGGAAGAAGGGCCGGATCATCGCGCGGTTCTGCGGGCGGTGCGTTGGCGCGGCGCGGCGCGGCTAGGAGAGTGTGCGCACCTGCTTCCAGACCTCGCCGTCGCTGGTGGATGGGTGCGGTCAGCGGGGCGGCCGGCGGGGGTTGCGCGGGTACGTACGTGGCGAAGATCCCGTTGCCCAGGAAGGTGGCCCTGTAGAGCTGGTCAGATGGAGTGCGCTGGTGGAGGACGCAGCACCTGACATTCTCTCGTTCGTGTCGGGGCCCCTCTCGAACGAATTGAAGTGTGTGGAGTGTATCGCACGCATGACGGCGTCATCTCGGGTAATGATCTACAACAGAGTCAGGCTCGGAGACACGCCAGAGTATGGCTGACCGCAGAATGGGAGGGCACGAAACTGCTGCGAGAGAGCTCCCATGAGTCATGAGGGAGGACAAAGAAGTGCCGCTCAAAGTCGACAACAGTTCAGATCGACCCTGTCCACCGACTCTGCCGAAGTTCTCCGGGCGAAATGTCGATAGAAAGTGCGAAGTCGTCCCATTATCCCTAAGTTTCCAGGTTGTCTGCCACGACAACTTGGAAGAAGTTCAGACAAGGCACACCAGCATGCGCTCTGTAGCAGCGAGTTCACAAGAAGCACAGCTGACGTTGCAAACAATGGGCACACCCCGTTGAAAAACTATGCAGGCAGTGTTCGGCGAATAAGGGGACCAATGGACGGCCTTGCCGTAGACCAGCTCGAACTCCGCGCAAGAGTGAACTCTTCGCAAGGGTGTGCCTATCGTCATGAAAACGACTGTAAAGACGAGACTGTATGATGCGACAGCCAGCGGTCCCCCGCTCCGCGACCAAGCACAAAGACAGCACGACGTACGGTGTCCTTCCACATGATCCGCGTGTTGAGCGTGTCCGTCCCGTACTCGTCCAGCAGCTCGTCGAAGGCCTGCAACACATATCCCGCGCGCAGGTCCTTTGCGAGCTTGAGCATCACGTCGATGTTCCCCGGCCATCGGCCCTTGACCCTCGGGACGCCCTCCGCAGAGTGCTGCGCCGCGTACCGCCCGCTGCTCCACAGGTTGTACGCGGGCAGGAGCGCGAACCACAGGGCGAGGGTGCCCGCGCAGAGGGCGGCGGTGGCGGGCACGCTCAGGGCGCTGCCCGCGAGGAGGCGCAGCAAGAGCAGGGTGCCGAGGAGGGGGCGGTAGGTCGTCCCGGCCAGGCGCAGGAAGAATCGCGTGCGGTAGGCTGTTGGAGGGACGTCGAGCAGAGCCATGTTGGGGCGCAGAGGGGATGTCGAGAAAGCAGAGGTCAAGAGGGGTGCGGTCTCATGCTGTCATAGGATGCGTGTAAATTGATTGATGGCGGGAGGATTCGTATGACAGAATCAGCATCGTTGGGCCTGGCAATTTCACACCGCGGTCCGTGGTGCGGGGACCAGAAGCGCCGAGGAGACGATGTCTGTCGGGAGGCGCAGAGACTCAGAATTGGTCCCGCGACGTCCGGCGCTGTTGCCATCGATGCCGGATGTCGCGCAGCGCGCATTGGCGCCCGCTGGCCGTCTCCGTCGGCGGCATTCAAATTCATGGATAGCGTTCGGCGACATCGTTTCTTGGAGCCGCAACTCCTGTCTGCTTCTCTGATATTTCATCATGTGATGGGGCACGCCTTCGCAGATCACATCAGAGGGCCCTGACGCCACGATGGCCGCGGTGGCCACAAGGGCGTCGCTGATGTCGCAGGGAGCCGTCATCTGGATTCTTCCCAAGACACGACAGGCAGGCGTGCGGGCAGCGTGCCCGCGGGAAGCGTTGCGCCGCGATCGCACCTTCTCCATCGCGTTGATAGGAGCCGGAGCAGTGGCGCCTCGCTCCTGCCAGCGCTCGCATACAAAGCGCACAAGGATCGGCGCACGCCCGCTCCCAGAACCTCCCTGCACCTCCGCCCACCATGTCCGCCCCGCCCATCGACGTGCACGCGGTGATCACGCCCACCATGGGCGCGCTCATGCTCGCGATGGTCTTTAGCTCCGTGTATGTCCCTTGAGCTGATCCGCGCGCGCGTCGCCGCTGATGGAGTGCGTGCCTGACAGGCTCTACGGAGTGACCGTCCTCCAGACTTACCAGTACTACGACGGGTACACGGAGGACCCCACGTACCTGAAAATATTTGTGAGATGGCACTTCTGCTCGATCGATCGCAGGCCTATGTCTCAACTGCAGTCCCTCGCAGGTCGCAGCGCTCTGGTGAGCACTTCGCGACTCGGATGGGCGCTGCGTTGTTTTTGACGCGGGGGACAGGGTGTTGGACACGGCGCAGCTCGTCACCGTAATACACAGCAATTGGTGGTACTTGATCGCGAACTATGGCGATTTGGCGGCTTTGGACATCGTCCCAGTGTGAGTCTCAATCTCGTCTCAGCACCTACTGCATCCTAACCATGCCTCCAGGAGCCTCGCGGTGGGTTCTCATCTATTCATCTGCACGATGCCACCTCACAAAAGCCCCTACCCAGATCGAGGTCGGAATGACGGTGAGCATCCCCCACTGCCCCAGTCGAGCCCCTGTTCTGAGCCGCGCACGGGTAGATCTCTATCGGTGTCCTCGTCCAGAGGTAAGACACCCCTATTGTGACCGTCGGATTCAAGCTCATCCATGTCCCAGTTTCTTCGCCTATCGCGTTTGGTACAGTGAGCAACAACCCTCCCTCTCGTTGCACCACCTAATGCCCACACCCTCCAGCGAGCGGCCGCCACGCCCTCATCCCGCTCACAATAATATGCCTAACACTCGCCACATTCTGTAAGTCTCCCAGCCCCCGCCCGTCCCTTCTCCTCACCCGCCTCTCCAGCCCTCGGAATCTGTACGTCCCCACCTCTCAACAAGCGTGCCCAGCCCGCTAACCCGCGCAGTCTACGCCGTCAACGGCCAACGGAACCCCGTCGTCGAGGAGATCGCCAAGATCACCGTCAGTCCCGCTCCTCTCCCCGCCCTCATGTCCGCGCTGACTCCCCTGCCCGCGCGCGCAGTGGGCGACCGTCGCGTCG